ACACCTGGGAGGGATCAACCACAGCCCCTGGGGATGGCCCAGCTTCCGGTCCAGTTGGCAGGGACAGGGCATGACTGAATGGTCCCCTGTTTATCCCCCAGAGAGCCTGCCCTGGGAACAAGACTGGCATTATGGGGGAGGGGGGCGGGGCTCCTCTGCCCATTCAGCCTGGGCAGGTGCAGGCCTTCTGCTGGGCAGCTGCTGCCATTTCCATACTGCCCACCACTCTGCCAGCCTCGCTGGACCCCCTGCCCAGGCTCAGACATACTGCCCAACCCCATGACTGCCAGCTGGAGCTGCGGTGGCCCCCGCCTCCCTGTCGAGCCCATCAGATCCTTGGCTAGGGGCTCCTGAATCCAGGCTCCTCGCTGCCCAGCCTCCGCGTCCCCCCGGGTGTGAAGGGGAAGCGGGCTTCTGGGCCTGCAGCCCTGAGTGCGGCCCGTGCCGCCCGCGTGGTTGCATGCGGTTGGGAATCCGCCATGGGACTGGGGTTTGCAGCCTCAGGCCTGTCGTCACACCAGGTCCATCACTGCAGTGCTCTAAGGTCCAGCTCCGGCGTCCACTGTCAGCTTTCACTGGCCGAGGCCCAGATGGAGCTCATGACATACTGTTTGGGTACAAAACCTGGAGGACCGAGAATCCTTAGCACCGCAGGAAGAGAAAGCTGCCCCATGTTCACAGCCCCCCAAGCCCTCCCCGCCATCCAGGCCCTCCTTCCTGCTCCCTGTTGGGGTTCAGTATGCACCCCAAGCTGGCCTTGAGCCCCATAGGTACAGGCTGCTAGATCCTGCTCGTATGGGGTGGGGTGGGGTGGGGCGGGGCGGGGTCAGGGATGCCTCTCCCTGACGGGCCTCCAGCCTGCTGTCATCTGGGGGCCCTGGGCTGCAGACCTGATGGTGCAGACCAGCCCAGGTGTTCCGGGGTGCCCCCAGCACCCCTCTGCTGTGCCTTCTCTGCCTGTAGCGCAGCTCGGCAGGTTGGAACGTGAACTCAGCCTGCCTGGAGCTGGTCTGCCGGGGCTGGCTGGTTGGAGCCTGTGTGCCAGGGCTGGCTGGTGGCCCACATGACCACCTGGTGCCAGCCCTCCGGATGTGTCCCTGTCAGCCATACCTGTGCCTGCTTCTTGCATCACCTGCCCACCGCCGTGCCAGGCAGGGTATAGGGCTCGGGAGCCCAGGGAGGGCGCCCTCTTCACCTGCACCCCACTCCCCCTCACAGGCGGCTCTGCTCATCCCCCTGTCCTCCAGGGAAGCTCGTGGCCCTCCAGGAGGTCTGCCCAGGGAAGCCCCTGGCTCTCTGGCCGCACGCCAACTCTGCGGGCGGCCGCCTGTGCGTAGGAGTTACTGCTGGGGCTCCGCTGGTGCAGGTGTGCAGGGACCGTGCTGCGGTCTCCCTGGGAGAACGCTGGGCTCTGCTGCCTATATGTCCTACATCCCTCCTGCTTGAACTCCGCGCGTGCTAAGTCGCTTCAGGCATGTCTTACTCTTTGCAACCCCATGAACTGTAGTCCACCGGGCTCTTCTGTCCCTGAATTTCTCCAGGCAAGAATACTGGAGTGGGTTGCCATCCCCTCCTCCAGGGGATCTTCCTGACCCAGGGATTGAACCGAGTCTTTTTGTGTCTCCTGCATTGGCTGGCAGGTTCTTTACCACCAGCACCACCTGGGAAGCCCCAGTCACCCTTAAAGGGCCCGGGTGGACAAGGAGAGAGGAGTGGAGGCCAGAAGTCACCTTGCTGGCTCCGAGTCCAGCAGCTTTTGAGCCCTTGAGGTGTGGGCCCTGGGTGTGCAGAGACGAATGAGATGGAGCCCCTGCCCCAGGAGCTCGCGCAGATGGTGTGAGTGCGGACCTGCACGCTGTCTGCAAAGTAGGTGTGAGGGCTGAGAGAGGGCCAGACTCCACCAGGCCCCGGCAGGGCATAGCCCCAGCAGAGGCTCTGGATCGCTGAGGATCCCAGAGGCACGCAGGCCTGGGCACCTGGCTTTGTGCAGCCAGGGTTGGTTGGGGCATGGCTCCTGGATGGATCTTTGGGGACTTGGTGGAGTCAAGCTTGCCTCACAGGCCTGGAAGTGAGCCAGGCTCTCACTTCTCTGCTGCAGGAGCGGTGACCTGCAGAGCCCGGGAACTTGGCATGGGGGATGCCCCCTGGGGGCCCCGAGCCCGAGGGGAACGGCGGAGACACACCATCACCAATGGTGTGGACTGCGACCTGGTGAGTCGGGGCCCAAGGGAGCTCTACCATCTTTCCTGGGTTTGGACTTGGCCCCCACACTTGTGGTTTCCTAGGCCATTCCTCTGCCTGGGGGGGACCCTGTGGCAGGAATGTTGGCGGTTCTAAATCTCAGTTCCCATCCTGGGTTTGAACCCGCTTGGGAGCTGGCCCATGGTCAGGTCAAGTCCTTTGGTCAGCCCCTCCCCGGCACTGCACTGGCCCCTACCTGCTTCCCTGGCACATCAGGCCAGCCCACTCGCTGAGAGTGACCACGTGCCATAAAGAGGGGGGAAGGTTCCCTTGGGGACGCTGTGTGGAGGGGCTGAGGAAGACCAAGACTGCCCCCAGCCCCGGGAGGAGGAGCAGGGCTGTGTTCCCAGTGCAGAGGCTCACAAGGACTCCTGTTGGTACCGGGGTGTGTGAGCGGGGGTGTGCGCGCGGGCCGGTAGTGAGTTCCAGGGACAGGCCCGTGCAGGCCATCCTGTCCTGCTGCATGCCGTGTGGTGCCCATGGGTGACATGGTGTGTGCCCATGTGGTGCCCGTGGGTGACATGTGTGCCCGTGTGGTGCCTGTGTGGTGCCCGCGGGTGATGTGGTGCGTGCCCGTGGGTGATGTGTATGCCCATGGGTGACATGGTGTGCCCATGTGGTGCCTGTGGGTGACGTGTGTGCCCGTGGGTGACATGGTGCGTGCCTGTGTGGTGCCCACGGGTGATGTGACACGTGCCCGTGGGTGACGTGTGTGCCCGTGGGTGACATGGTGCGTGCCTGTGTGGTGCCCGCGGGTGATGTGGCACGTGCCCGTGGGTGACGTGTGTGCCCATGTGGTGCCCGCGGGTGACGTGGCACGTGCCTGTGTGCGGCAGCTGAAGCAGATGAGGGAGCTGCAGCAGGAGCAGGAAGTGCTGCTGCAGGGCCTGGAGATGATGGCGCGGGGTCGGGAATGGTACCAGCAGCAGCTGCAGCGCCTGCAGGAGCGCCAGCGCCGCCTGGGCCAGAGCAGGGCCACCTCGGTGAGTGACGCTGCCCCCTGGGCCCGTCACCACCCCACCCCCGGGCACAGCGACCCTCCCCCCAGGGATCCCTGCCCGGGTGGCACAGTGACCCTCCCCCCACAGTGCCCCCTGCCCAGGTGGTGCAGCAATGGACAGAGGACAGTGCGTGTCTCCCTACCCAGCGTGCTGGGCCACCCCTCCCTGCCGTGATACTCCCCACCTGGGGCCCCCCCTGCACTCCTGGGCCGGCCCTGCTCCCTGACCGCCCCTCCGTACTCTCCTCCAGGACCTCGGGGCTGAGGGCAGTCCCCGCCTGTTGGGGCAGCTGCTGCCCAAAGTGCAGGAGGTGGCCCGGTGCCTGGGGGAGCTGCTGACTGCGGCCTGTGCTGCCAGGGTGAGTGTCTCCCAGACCAGCTCGTGCCACCCTCACCCTTGTCCTAGAGGCTGTGCCAGGCCCGCCTGACCATGCCCTCCTGCAGGCTCTGCCCTCGTCCTCCTCGGGGCCCCAGGGCCCTGAGTCGCCCTCGGCGCCCGACTGGCAGCAGCAGACCATCCTCATGCTGAAGGAGCAGAACCGGCTTCTGACCCAGGTGAGCGCGGGCGGGGCGCGTGCTGGAGGCCGGGTGCAGGCGGGGGCCCTGACCGCCCTCCCACCTGCCTAGGAGGTGACCGACAAGAGCGAGCGGATCACACAGCTGGAGCAGGAGAAGTCCGCCCTCATCAAGCAGCTGTTTGAGGCCCGTGCTCTCAGCCAGCAGGACGCTGGGCCCCTGGACTCCACCTTCATGTAGCCGGCCCTGGGCACGGACATGGGACCTTGCTGCCTGGCCGGTCTCTCAGTTCCGGGCAGGGGGGCACTTCCTTGGCCCCCCCGCTCTGAGGCAGAGGTGCCTGGATGTCGCCTCCCTCCTCCCTTTCCATCTGGGCTTCGGGGCTGGTGGGGCGGGAGACTCCATCTTACTGGCACACAGCTTGGAGCAGCCACTGATGTCAGTGGGGAGTGGGGACCCCGGCCTCAGCAGCTCTGGGCAGGCCTGCTTCCGTGTTCTGCTGGCCTGTGTCCCCTCCGCCTGGGGTCTCCCATCCATGGCCCTGCTCACTGTGCTGCTAACTGGCCTTGGAGCCCGCATTTGGGTGTCTCGGGTGGGGCCTGGAGTAGGTGACCCTGGGGTGGGACACCTCAGACCCAGTGGTGGTTGGCCCCGCAGGTCCACCAGCACATTTCCTCCCTCAGGATGAGGGGTTCCACCTCAGCCAGGAGTCCAGGGGCTTCTACTGGTGTCCAGCTCCAGGGGAGCCCTGGGGCATGGTGTTCAGGTTCACTGGATTCCTGCCTGAGCCAGAGCTGGCCTGCTTTCCCTTCCTCGCGGACCTTAGACGCAAGACGGACAGGCTGGCGGTCACCCCTGCTGGCCCAGACTCCACTGAGCAAACAGTGACCCAGGCCCAGAGCCTTCCTTGGGCCTGACAGGTAACCAGGCCAGGGCCATGGTCACCAGGGCGGCTTAGGGTGCCCCTCCGCGGGGAGGGCCCTGTCCTCAGGGCGGGTGGTAGCCCCCTGGCGTGCCCCAGAAAGCCCTGTAGACCCAGCAGACTTAGCAGCACTCCCACCAGATGCGCGCTTCCTAGGGAATGAAGACCAGCTGCCCCATTCTTACCCCCAGCTTGGGCCTGGGTCCAGGTCCGAGGAAGGGGGACCTGAAGGACGCTGGAAAAGCCTGGCAGCGGATCCCGCCGGGGGTCATTTGTTGCTTGTGCCCCCACGCCTGGCCTGCTCTCAGGGAGACCACCTGCTCAGGTGGCCTGTCGCCACCCCAGGAGGGGCTCCGAGCGCCCCCAGGGCCCTCCCCTGGAGCTGAGGGTGCCCAGGCTTCGCAGGCAGGCCGTGTGGTCAGGGGCCTGGACACGCGTGGGCGCTTACAGAACCGGAATCTGAGGGCTGACTGCACAGCCTCACGTGCATGGGCGTGGCAGCCTGCCCAGAGAGGAGGGGTCCAGGGTGCTGCCCCCATGGGGCCCAGCTCTGCCTGTGCCAGCTGGAGCCCTCCCCATCACCGGCAGCCAGTGGAGGAAGGTGGTTGTCTCAGGTCCGCACGGAGGCTGCTTGAGCTTGACCTGGGCAGGTTCCCTGGGATGTGAGGCAGAAGGGGAGCTGGACCCGAAGGGCAGCACTGGGTCTCCAGCATCCAGGCCAGCTTGCCACGCGGTGACTGGGCCAGGCCCCACCAGGACCGCCCGGAGGCTGCCCCTTTCCTGGTTCCCCTGGTCGTCCCCCTCTGCCAGCCCTTGACCAGCCCGCATACCAGCTCAGGCCCTGAGCCCCTCACTAGGAGTCCCCTTAATTCCAGAACTGAAAATAGCCCTCCCCAGCTCCGAATCCTCCACCCATGAATGACTCAGGCTAGCCCAGGCCCCAGGCCGCAAGCCATCCTGGCTCTGGGAGCTCCCTCCCCCGCTTCACCTGACCAGCCCTGCCCAAGCCTGCGGGGGCCGGAACAGCAGAGGTGGCAGCCTTTGCCCTGAGGGGCTCTGCATCCCTGCTGAGAGCTCGGTGTTTCACCCCAGGGGTACCACCCACTGCAGGCGGTCCCTGCAGTTGGAGGGTGAGTGGGAGAAACCCGTGACTCGCAGAGTGGCCTTTAGTGATGATACTGGCCTTTCACGCAGGATGGAAGATGCACCCTCCTTATTTGCAGCCTGCAGTGAGACTGCCCTGGAGACCCCAAGGGGAGAACTGTGAGTGCCTGCAGGCTGGTGAGCCCAGGTGGCTGGCAGAAGCAAAACAGCCTTTCCAGAGCAGCAAGTGTTAGCCACATGGGCAGCGTCTGGGGCTGGGGAGTCCTGGGGACTGCCCGTGCCCTGGAGAATGTTTAGTAGCATCTGTCCACTAGATGCCAGCAATACTCAGTGTGATGCCAGCACGGGGGTTGGGGGCAGGGGCAAAGTCACCCTTAGCCGAGCATCCCTGCCAGAGCAGCTACACTAGGCCTCGGGGATTCCCTGTGGACTGAGGCCCAAGGAAAAGGAGCATCTCCAGTTTAAAACCACACAAGGGAAGGAGCCACCGTGAGAGCCAGGAGGAAACAGACTGACCATTTCAGATACTGGGATGATCAGAGAAGACACCGATGTTTCATATAGCTGGAGAAATAAGAGATGCTTGAAAACACGAACATGGAATAGCCTGTAGTTTCTTACTCCAGTGATGTCAACCTTGGCTCGATAAAGGTGGCCAATAAAATGAAAAGAATCTAATAGAACTAGAAATTTGAAAATAAAATTTAAAACTTGACTGGGCTTGACATGGAAAATTTCAGCACAGCTGAAAGGAGACAATGAATTGAAACAGAGCTTAGGGAATGATTTGAGGACCATTCAGTTAAGAGAGTCAGGAACTATGAATGGCAGGAGGGTCTTGAGAAGGGGAGGGCTGTTTGATTAAATTTCCTGAAAGAAAGGATGGGGAGGAGGAACAATATATGAAGTTAAAATGGCTTAAATTTTTCCAGAATCATCTTAAAAAACCCATCCTTAGGTCCAGAGCTCCCAGTGGGTCCCAGGCAAAGATGAATTTAAAAAAAGGACATTTTCTCTTACAAGATCATTAAAGAATCCAGAGACAAAGCCAATTACCTTCAGAGGAGATACCACAGTGATATCAAAGTCCAGAGACTGGAAAGCCATCAGAGGCTGATGTTACTAACGCAGACGCCTACACCCATAAACTCTGCCTTTCAGGAGTGAGGGTGGGGGCTTCCCTGGTGGTCCAGTGGTTAAGACTCCATGCCCCCAGCGCAGGGGGCTGGGGCCGATCCCTGGTTGGGGAACTAGATCTCGTAGCCACAGCTGAAAGATCCCATGTGCAGCAAAGTCACTATTTTTTAAAACCCAAAACTTAGTGGCTCATGTATGCACACTGGTGTCCAACTCTTTGGAACCCCATGGACTGTATGTAATAGTCTGCTAGGCTCCTCTGTCCATGGGATTCTCCAGGCAAGAGTATTGGAGTGGGTTGCCATTTCCCCCTCCAAGGGAACTTCCCAACCCAGGGATTGAACCCACGCCTCCTGCATTAGCAGGTGGGTTCTTTACCACAGAGCAAGCAACACATTTTTTGCCATTTCTGTGGGTTAGGAACCGCTGGCGTTGGCCTGGAATTGCACGAGGCTGCGGCGAGGCAGTCCTCGGGACTGCAGTCTTCCCGGATGCTGAGTGACGGGG